AAGCAGTAGATTTGCTGACAGGCGACAATGATATCTAACAATAGTATTCTGGACAAAATATTGGCAAACTGTACAGAATTCGTAGCGTTATTTGTTGCACAGTATCTTCTTCTTGTTCACAATATTTAAGTAAAATTGCAGCAGACAGCATGTCTTGCGATACAAAGTCATTCTATCGGAATCGCAAACCGATTCCTTTCTATATTCATCCTTCAAAATGTACGTAGCAGTAGGTTGAAAACCCACTAAAACATATACTAGAGAATTCTGCAACTAAATGAAAAGGGTGAGTGATTGAAACAATAAAAAATGAAAGAAACTTGATGCATTACAGCGAATAAAAATTTAGCAGTGGATCACAGGTTCAAGTGGGCTGCTAGTTTCATATGCAGAAACCTGAGTTACGCGACTAATTATTTATGTAGAAAGGTGTCTAAAATGATTACGACATCACGTATCACCAACAAACAAGCAGAACCTACAGTCGTAATCAAATTCCTACCAGGGCATTCATCGGTTTTGAACAGGACTCTGACAGCGTCGATTACGAAGTAGTTTTAAATCAATCCAGCACTGTAGAGTACGGCGACTCCGACCTATACAAAACACGTTCAGCAGTTACATCATGATACCACATGTCACGTGACTCACAGCGGAAGGCTCAGCGGATTCTTCGAAATGAAAGGATTAAGATAAGGCTGTATCCTATCACCGATGCAATTCCTAATTTGGGGTAGACGAGATTACATGACGGACTATAGAGATTAAGAAAACGGGAATACATTGGACCAATAAGAAGGCTGTAGAAGATGATGACATATGAATTCTAAGACTTACGAGTGAAAAGCAACAAGGACAGGACATAGAGAAGACAGAGGTCATGACGATAACCAACCAGAGCAACGAACAGCACTCACCATTGACGAAAGGGATCTAAAGTCACTTCATTCACTCAGCTGTACAGGTAGCACCGTTACGCAGATGAATATTTTGCAGAGGGATCTTAAATGCAAGGCAGACTATCATTTATCTGAAGTCAGCCTAAAAACCTGCTACACTAAAAATATAAGGAGGAGGAACCCAATCCTCAATACTAGTGCCAAGTCCACGAATGCTGCTGTATGGTTCAAAGATTTGGCATGCGACAGAGAACATTTCTAACAGGTGGCTACAGACTTGCTTTTGCTGCCTTCACAATTCATATCAGATGATCAATTAGTCAGAGATGAAAAGTAAGCAAGAAGGGATTTTTTCAATGAACTATTCAAGAACCTATTGCACAACAAATCAGCTCAAAGTAAAGGGATCCTCCTCTAATATATATATATAGCATTTCTGTCACAATACACAACAATTTACCAATCAACTGGCGATATGTTTGTTAACAATAATTTCTATTTTGAAATCTGCACAAGGAAGTGGAGTTGGTAAGTGAGATCACGTATCAGTTAAACTTGCAACCTGAATTCAAACGAAGATTCGGGCACGGGTCTGAGAGTGGCTCACTGGAGGTTATATGCCTTATCAGATAAATTATACAAAAGAAGACACGGAGTGATGACCACGATGAATCACCCGCCAGGTGGCCTTGGAATAATCTATTTGGCAACCTGAGTACTGACCAATCACAACCATAGCTGTGATATAGACTGAAACAATTCGTCGAAAAGAAAATTTTCTTTGCTGCAATTGTCTTCTTAATAATTCCTGTGACCCAATGTGTATATTCCGTGAAATAATTCGGCTAATCTCAATTCATGCCCAACACCATGTAAACCGCCTACACTTTCCGCTTCTAAAAGACTTCCTATCTGTATACACGGTTCGATGGAGACTCGTTAGCATATTTAATGGAAAACCAACTATCCTGTGTTTTCATTGAAGGAAACCCCCTTCACGTCTTCTCCAGAAAATTAGTGAATCACTTTAACATGAAGGACAAACCACCTCACTAGTGTTCACCTATCAGAGTACCTCCTCTTGTGGAGCTAGACATATTGGCTGTTTAAAAATAATAATATATTTATTCCTGTATATGTAGGACACATGAGTTTTACAGGCATGGGTTTACAAAAGAGAAGAAAGGTCCTTTCGAATTTCTATTCCAGAATACCTGATTGATTGTGGAAACCAAGAGCACTAACAAGCCAAATAGAGAGGTGTCTACAAAATACGCGGGAATATCCCTGACGGAGTACGAATAGAATTTCTTCAAATCACAGAAGCAGTAGTGAGCAGCATGTTGATAAGTCTTTGAACCTTCGATAGATTGGATCTGTTCTGATACCGGAAAGAGGATTTTCTGGTTGTATCATTTTCCCCCGTCCCCCACAAAATTATATTTCAACTGCCCATTGTCACTGTTCTTAACTTGACCCTCCTTGAATTTTAGTTGAACTGCCCTACTCAAGCCGATCAGTGATTTGTATTATACTAGTCTGTTTGCTAATTTAATTTTATTTTAGTTTCTACTCCCTTTCGGTGGCTTATTTTACACGTGAGTTTCGTATTGGGCTGCTATGATTGGTAGTAAACTGTAATTGCTTTCTTAAAACCTATAATCTTAATGAAACATCCTTGGAAACTCCCTGTTTTGATAAGAATTTGGTGGAAAATGGATATCACAAAAGCAAGAATTAGAACGTCTCATTGGATACAAGACAAACACTCAGGATTTCGGGCAGAGTTAAACTATATAGGCAAAGCCACAGTGTCCTTGAACGACCAACCAGAATTCAGACACCAAGAAGTCTCATAATGGTTGAAAAATACACTGAAATATTTAAATGCTTGATATCACACTGTGTAGTTGTAGCTCATGTGTTGAAAGAATGTCTCCCAGTCAATACACAGATGACCTATAGAGACATCGTACCATGTGCGACATACCCATTCGTCCAGGTGACTGAAGGTCATGTTACTATGATATTTCTGGTGCTATTCTCCAACCTACTTCTTACGCTAACCATAATCCTAACTCCTAATTCTAACCTTAACCTTAGACCCTAAGCCTTAATCTCAAAAACCACAACCCCACCTGACAAGAAAAAGTACTAAGCGAATAATTAGAACACCATATACATGTCCTCTCGTAATCCGAAAATGCAGGTGCAATTTGATTTGGGAGGATATTTTAAAGCCTTCCCTGTGTCTCACTGGTTCTTGAAGATCAACTTTTGGAAGACTTTGGCTTTGACTACGATACACCAATCTCGACGGATCTCGTTCGAATCAGTCACTGAACATTAATTCTTTCAAAATATACTTGCCTAATAATTTCTCAAAAATACCAAACTTAACGAGAAGTCATACGGAGTGTTTTGAGTTTGCCGATCATTTAAGTGTGAAATCGGAGGAGCAAGAGTTTGAAAGAAATCTCAAAAAATATAGACGAAATATATTTGCAACTCAGTAAGAACTCTTAAAAACATATTTGACATTTTTAATTTCATAACATAAAATGTTACATAAAAAACATGTTCATATGTTCCTGTTTAATATAACACTATACATCAGATAAGTTTGGGGAGGATTGCATCGTCGTGGAGGTTGGTGACGTAGTATGGTGCATCACGTCATTTGAATGATATAAAATTCCTGTTTCAGTGATTGCATTAAATTCTGGTAGGATAGTAGTATAAAAAAAATGAAGGGGTTAGAAAACTGACAGAGTATTTGGCAAGACTTGAAAATGATCGGGTGCAATGTTGGCAACCCTTTTTCTTAAAATCTGATGATTCAGAAAATTGTTTAGTGACATCATACTCCGAGTAGGCCACTGCCTAAGTGGGTCTCGAGTGATGAAGGACAATTTGGACATATGACAAATGTCGACGTGGCGGGGATCGTGTGACGCTGAGGAGATTTAAGTTTATGGGCAGTCATAGAGCCAGCCAAGGAAAATGTTGGTAGGGGAAACATATCACTGTTAGCCATAAAGCCATGATTGGTGCAATCAGCCAATCAGATATTGGTTGCCTGTTTACAGTTTAAATTTCCGTGGGTGTGTAAACGATATATGCAGTATTTGGTTTAATGAAGCTGTTGTCGTCACAATTAAATCTGACTTATTTATCTACGTCTGTATGAGGGGACATTTTTCAAAATGACTATAGTATCGTAACTGAGGGCTCCTTCTAGTTAACGTAGATGACAATCACAAAACCAGTAACACTTCGTTACAGCAGAAAACTACAGACGACAGGATCAAATGAAGATATGAGCTAACTAGGACCCTGTGTTCTACTTAGGACCAAGGTAAAAGCAGCAACAAAAACAATGATCAGATAAGCGTCTGTGATTAGCACACAGTTGTAAGCTTCCTGCTCGGCCACGTATCACAATATTACTATTAATACCTTAGGTACCTAGCGGAATGTGAATCTCTAAAAGCACGCATGCGTTCCACTGTCTTCTCTGCAGTCTTTCTTACCCTGCTGCATGATTAATTAATAGACTTTATTTACTCTTCATCACACGATATCTATGGACCCAGGCTGGACTTGTCGTTCGCTTCCCACTAAGGTTGCATTTGAGTGTCTGCCTAACTTGTGAAGCCATTCAACGATCTCCCTAGCAGTTATGTACAAACCATTTCCATTTCCCACCAGTTCAATCAAATTTAGCGAGATGAAGTTTCTAATCCGATCACTCAAGGTAAGGAGGGAGATAAACTCATTTCCATTCTTTCTCTTTCATTCTTTTGCGTTCGAAGAGGAAAATAGAGCCTCAAGCTTTTAGTTTGACATTTCAGTAGCACCCGTATTCTTTTATACTCTTTACGAGATCTGGTCGCTAGCTTCACAGTCAACCTTCCCTCTTTTTCCGGCTTACAATCGGCGATGCCTACGGGTGCGTTGTTGGCTTGGAATGGAACCTTCTACCACATAAAGGATTGGCAAGCATCCTACCATTGGACTCCTGACAAGTACCTCATCTCTGGACTCATTTCCTCATACATGTAAAGAGAAACAAATAATCATATAAATAAAGAGAAGGCACTAACTTGAAATATCTCCACTTATATCAGGATTTTCTAAAGCTGGAATACACAACGTTTTGATTCGCTTTCGTTGGGTTTCATTATTAAATGGGAACAGAATGTTGCAAAACACCGGAAAAAAGAAAAAAATAAGTGAAGTGTTTTGATAAAATGTTTGATTTTCAGTAACAACTGTGAGTTAAATGCCTAATTTTCTGGTAAAATGTATCAACCATTATAGACGGACTTACCATTAACACACACACACACACACACACTCACATGAAAGGAGAGCGGTAACCTAATGAGAATGCAATCAACAATGGGTTAAACCGGATAATGGCTCTGTAATGTATATCCGCAAATTGATTATGATTAAGCTTCATTCCAACCAATATGTGACCACACTACAAAAGTTTTCAGCGTATTTAGTCAAAAAATGTGACGCACTGTTGCTTTATATAAAGACAGAAACCCCCTGAGTACTTTTCTTCTAAGAATTGTGAAGCGTTTTGTTGAAGGCTAATTAAATATGTGCGCGAGTTCATGTGGTGTTCATACGATATTATTGCAGGCTTAAAACAAATGGTAAATTACCAGTTTTGGGAGGCTCATGGAGAATGTAATAGGAAATTACCAAATATTCTCATGATTGTTAACCTCATTCGTGTGTGACGATTGAGCAGACATACTGGGTATCAACAGGAAGAAGGATGTGACTAGCTAGTAAGCACTGCTGGTTGACGAGAGTGGTGTTATCCAACTACTCATATCATTCTATCAGTAGTTTATGCAAATCGTGTACTCATGGTTACTCTCCTGATTCTTATTAAAATGGCACTAAGTAGACTATATATTGTGCACGATCTAGATCGAAGGCATACTACGACGAAAATTAATCTGGAACTGTGTAAAATTTCAAATCATGGATTCACTTGGAAGTGGTAAATTTGATTCGGTGTATTGCCCACACAAATAGCTAAGCAGGCAGAGCTTGGGTGCATTGAACTGACTAAGCTGTTTCCCTGAAATGAATCGGTTCGTGGTGCACGGCTAGCGACCTCTGTGTGAAATTAGCCGAACACTCGTCCGGTGTTTAAATCACTTCCGCTCACATCTAAAGTGGTAATATACCTTTGAAGTTTGGTTGCGAAAGGATTTCAGCTGGAGCACCACTGAAAATTACTGATGAGTTTTGGATAGCCAGTATTTCCTAGTGTGAAGCTCTTCTTGACTGTTGTGCACCCATGATTCAACTGCTAGGCGTTGAATTCATGACCCTCGGGCAATGAGGTCAATCCTCTGACTATTCAGCAGTTGGTAGGAAATCAAGTGAATCTCAAAAATTATAACTCCTGCCACTTTGTGACGTATACAGAGATAGTCAGCCAATGTCACCGACAGTCCAACACTTGAAAGTCCTTCCAATTCTCACTACCGACTCAGTGGCTCACTGACTACAGGGTGAAGTTATATGAAGTTCCTCTGAGAAGTCATGACCATTGGGGTCCACGAAACCATCGAGTGAGGGGACAGACACTTGCCAATGAAAGTGGTTGACGGTGGTGTCATGTATCACTGACCGTCAGAACTCGAAATTTGAGGGATCAACGGGATTATTTACATCTGGCAGGACGACCGACTCACTAGCCCCGTAAATTGAATTTCCTGAGCTCGATCACTAGTGATGAGGTCATGGATGCATAAAGTTAAAGAGGAACCCCATATTAGGAGTAAATAGCTGTCCGATACTCTCCAGTAGTTTTTACTGGTCCTCTTATCGAAGTGAGCTTGTAAGCAGACCTAAAATCACCCCAGTTCCTGCGCACAAGGACTTGAAAGATAGCAAACCTTTTCACATGCCAGTCATTACCATAAAAGATTAAAAACCATTGGCTAATGTTCTGCCCACATTTTTCATTTGAACTTGGGTCGTTTTCTTGGTGACCTACGCAATCGTCAGTGTAACCGAGAGAAAGAGCAGCGATGTATCTGGTACCCATCAGTCTGATGAACCTTCATCCCCAATAAGCAGATGACGGTCATACGATTGAGACTGGAATTCAGCACCCGTTATTTCAAACTCGAAAGCATCACCCACTAGATCATCAGACAATGAAATCTGTAGCACTAGGTAATTCCTCAAAATTATTGGCCACAGCATTCATCACTGAACATTGCATGCTGACCCTCACTGTTTAAGTCAACTTGTTTAGCTGAAGGCTTCCGGTCAAGCATCAATGCAATTTGGTACTCCATCGTGTCATGTTCCTTCGTGCACGATCCCGAGCTAGTTAAGCAATCATCTCGCACTCAAATTTGGTCTCGAAATATAACTCGTAATTTGAACGATCGATTCCGGCCATTTTTTTGCCTTTGGACTAGGCGGAGCGAATACCATAGAAGTTGTGGGTATTAGATCTTTCGTTAGTATATTTCGAAATACTACGTCAGCACCCTCAGCCTCTAAAAATCCATCTGTCGTGGAACAAGCATAAGTTGAAATTAATGATAATGATAATAATATTAATAATCCAAATCTCTCGTTGACTGGTTTTAGAGAACCCAAATACTTGGTGTCTGCTCACATGCCACCTCCTGGTGCATATACATCGACAGAATACTTTTCTAATCACTGAATTATCGTTCAACCTCCTAATATTCGGGCATTTGTTGTCAGGGTGCTAGTCCAAATGAAAGAGATATTGCTTAGCAAGAGAAGATGACTAGGATCGTAGTCCTGGTACTCTTGCTCTCATTGCGTAAACACTGTAGGCGGTGATAGGCATTTGGCGGTGGCTTGATGGCCACCGATGCACTCCCAAATATCGCCTAGGCGACAGCAAGCACAGGGCCGTAGGTGGAATGAATGCATAGCTTTCAAAGCCATCTGGTAAAAAATGCTACTGAAACTTCAAAGCTCGACGTTTGAATCTTTATGTTCCACCGGGTTCTCGAAGGAATGACAGTTACTCCATACCCATTTTCTTATTTGTCAGAAGGCCTTTGGGTACTTTGTATTTTTGAAGTATGCTGATCCTTAGTTGCTCTCTTAATTTTAGAAGGGAATACGGGTAGCGGAAGAGAATTTTAGACTTTTTCAGCATTGAGTATCCTTCATTAAGCACAAAAATAATTACATAACCATGCGATTACTGTCTAACCGAAGAATTTTATTCAAACCACTTATTTTTCGAAATTGGTGTCCTCCTGCTGCTAATATTACTAACCTTTTGCGAAACGGTTTGACTAAACGGGGTTTCTTATACTCTTCATAAGCATTACTTATTAATGATAGCTTGGCAGAAAAATAAGGTCCTTGTTTTTGTTTAACACCAATGTCAAGTCGCGAAGAATCTAGAAGACCTGGATTTCGCGTATGATTTATTTTTTATTTTTTATTACAGCTTGATTCCACACCGTATTTTGCGGTAAAAGTATGGAATTTTCAGCATGTGATATCGGTAGCCCAAATTTTGCAGACCGACCAAAAATATCAGGTGTGCGTCGGAAAAGGATCAAACCTCGGAACATTTGCATGGTCGGCGAGAGTCCTAACTACTGTGCCACCGACGCACACGAAATTGAAGACTTACAGTTGAAAACCAAAATATTGGCCAAAGAAGCAGCCGGCGAAGACAGGACTCCAGGTGAACGTAGACAAGATGGAGGTTATGAAAATAACTAAACAACAAACCAACAACAGCAACAATATCCAGCGTCAATCACCATCAATGGAAGCATTGTCTTAACTAAAGGAGGAGCGGATGAAGATATCCAGTCGGAAATCGGGAAGGCGTGAAACACATTCATCAACCTGAAGCAAATCTGGAAATCTTCGTCCCTCAGCCAGTATCAACAACAAAATTCAGTCGGATTTTTAATACAAACGTCAAGTCAATTCTTCGATACGGATCAGAAACTTGGCGGGGGGATCACAAAGAATATTCCCAACAGACTGTTGTAGATGTTACCTTTATCAACAACTGTATTTGCTCTATACTGAAAATCGGATGGCCGGGTCGGAAAGAATCACTGTTAGGAAGAGGCAAAACACATGCAATCATCAAGTTATTATCATGTCGTTGACATGCATTTGTTTCTGCTTTCTGATTGGACGCTTGCACAATTCCAAACTCTCAACAGGATTGGTCGATTTCCAGTCTACCTTATTTTTGCATAAATGCAGTCACTTTTGTCATAATAAATGATTCTGGTTTTACCGCTGATTATCGCGTGTTCTGCTTTACCAGTTAAGTGTGCACTGGTCAGTAGTTAAGCAGTTACCTCGAGACAAAGATCTAGCATCATAACAATTGGCGACGGGGTTTCGAATCCATTGCAGTTCAATGGAGTCAAATAAAAACCAGATCATCCAGTGTACATCCAGCCTGTCTTCCAAATGACGATTTCATTTGAACAAATGCAACTTCTCCTTCATCAACAACAGCAACAGTTTGAAGCTTGCCGGCTCATCTTGATTGAAAAACTTACAAAGCAGTTTTCAATTCAAAATCTCGGCAGTTCCAACTCAGAGAAAACTGAATCTATGGGGAGTTCAATTGTAGAGTTCAATTTCGAACCTCCAACAGGCGTGACGTTTGAAGCTTGGTTTCGACGTTATGAAGATCTGTTCCGGGTTGAATACGCTCACCTAGATGATTTGGCCAAAGTGCGACTACTCCTTCGGAAACTTGTTCCAGCCGAACATAACAAATATGTCAATCATATTCTACTAAAGAACTCCAGAGAACTCAACTTTGAAGAAACCGTTCAAACGTTAACCAATATTTTCGGTGAACAGTTATCTCTCTTCAGTATCCGTTACAATTGTTTCAAGGTATCCAAAGATCCAGGAGATGATATTCTCACCTATGCTGGTAAGGTGAATCGTGAATGCAAGCGATCGAAAATTCGATCACTTACGGATGACCAGTTTAAATGCTTGATCTTTGTCTGCGGTCTCAAATCTTCAGTTGACAGTGATATTCGTACCCGAATCCTTGCAGAGATTGAACGCAAACCGGACATGACTTAGCAGGAGGTAACTGCTGAGTGCCAGAGAAGCATCAATCTAAGGCATGACACGAAGTTGATTGAGGACGGCCAAGTTCATGAATTTACTTCTGTTCAGGCTGTCAAGTCAAATAATTCTCTGCAAGTCAAACACAAGCCTCCCACAAATTGTTGGTTTTGTGGGTCGTGGCATTTTGGTAAGCTTTATCCGTATAAAAGACATAAATGCAGTATCTGTAACAAGTATGGTCACAAGGAAGGATTTCGTCCCCCAGTGAAACCTAGATCAATTCGATCTCACAATACGATGGCACAGTCACGAAAGTTTCGATCTCGGTCGACGAAACCCCAAATCAGCAGTATGTTCGCTACCTTCAAAGTTGACTTCGAGTCAAAAAGAAAGTTTGTCACACTTTCTATCAACCATAAGCCAGTTCGACTACAGTTAGATACTGCTTCTGATATCGCAATCATATCTCGCCAAACGTGGCGGGCACTCGGGTGTCCACCTTGTCAGAGAACGGAGCATACTGCAAGAAACGCGTCGGGTGACGCAATGAAATTATCTGGCTAGATTGAATGCGACGTAACTTTACGGTCGACCTCGTTCCAAGGAACATGCTACATCAACAATCGTCATGATTTGAACTTGCTTGGTATTGACTGGATCGAAAAGATGAAACTCTGGGATGTCCTACTGAACTCAGTTTGTTCCAATGTACAGTGCTCAGATAGTCCTACCAACATGTTGATGCATCCGAACCCGACCGCAAAGTTCATGAGTCATCTTCGCACCAAACACGCTGCCGTTTTACGAGAGTCTTTGGGTTGCTGTACCGTACAAAAAGCCAAACCATACCTCAAACCTGATGCCAAACCAGTTTTTAGACCAAAACGCCCAGTACCGTATGCCGCATTATCGTCCCTTGATGCAGAGCTGGATCGTTTAGAAAAGTTGAACGTAATCAAGCCAGTCGATTACTCAGCCTGGGCAGCACTCATAGTGGTTGTCAAGAAAGCAAACGGTACCATCAGACTTTGTGCTGATTTCTCAACAGGACTCAATAATGCTCTTGAAGATCAACCGTATCCACTACCAGTACCGCAAGATCTATTTGTCAAACTGAATGGCGGTAAATACTTCAGTAAACTTGATCTAGCTGAGGCTTACCTACAGATTGAGGTCGAAGATGATTCTAAAGAGCTTCTGACAATCAACACTCACAAAGGACTGTATCAGTTCCAGCGACTTCCATATGGTATTAAACCTGCTCCTGCTATATTCCAACAGATAATGGATGCAATATTAGCTGGTGTATCGGGAGTGGCCGTTTACCTCGATGATATCATAGTCACGGGAGAAACTCAATTCGAACTCTTCAGTCGGTTGGATAAAGTTCTGACAATACTCAGTGATTCCGGTTTCCATTTACGTCCGGATAAGTGCAATTTTTTCATGACTTCAGTGAAGTACCTGGGATCCATTTCTGACAAAGATGGTCGCAAACCCGACCCCTCCAGTGTGTCAGCAATTCAACAGATGCCTGCCCTTAATAATCTCAGTACGTTGCAGTCCTTCCTGGGGATGATCAGTTACTATAGTGCGTTCCTGCCAGATTTACATCGTCTCAGGGCCCCAATGAATCAGTTGCTCATGAAGGATGCTAAATGGAACTGGTCAGAAGAATGCCAACAAGCTTTCATCAAGGTCAAGAAATTACTCCAGTCTGACTTGCTGCTAACACATTACAATCCAAAACTGGATATAACATTAGCTGCAGATGCGTCCAACTATGGTATTGGCGCTGTCATTTCACATGTGTTTCCAGACGGTGTTGAAAAGCCAATAGCATATGCATCGCAAACCTTGACAAAGGTAGAGCAGAATTACAGTCAGGTCGAAAAGGAAGGATTAGCGCTCGTGTTCGGGATTCAAAAGTTCCACAAAATGCTGCTTGACCGAAAGTTCACACTTTTTACTGATCACAAACCACTATTATCGATTTTTGGCTCCAAGAAAGGTATTCAAGTCTACACAGCCAATCGACTCCAACGATGGGCGACTATGCTACTAGGATACGACTTTCAGATCAAGTACAAATCTACAAACGATTTCGAGAGTGCAGATGTCTTCTAGCGTTTACTCAGCTATAACAAGTCCGCAAGGGAGGACGTTGTGATTGCCGGCGTTTCTGTTGATGAAGACGTGTGCCACGTATTGATGACGGCAACAAACACTTTACCTGTTTCAGCCGACATGGTTCAACGAGAGACGCAGTGTGACCCGACATTACAGTCAGTTCAACAGTATCTGCGTTGTGGCTGGCCCTCGCGTATTGATTGTCCAGATTTAAAACAGTTCTATCAACGACGACATTCGTTATCCCTGGTCAATGACTGCATTATGTTTGGCGAACGTGTGGTCGTGCCTCGAAGTCTCCAACAAAAAGTCATGAGTCAACTACATTTTACGCATCCTGGTATTGGCCGTATGAAATCGTTGGCACGCTGTTACGTCTACTGGCCAAATATCGATCGTGAATTAGAAGTGATGGTTCGCTCATGTTCTCGCTGTGCTCAGGCTTTGAAAATTCCTATCAAGACAGACCTACAGCCGTGGCCCAACCCAGGAAAACCGTGGTCAAGAATCCACATAGATTTTGCCGGCCCAATCAATGGCAAACAGTTTCTCGTGGTAATCGACGCGTATTCCAAGTGGCCGGAGGTTTTCATTATGCAAAATACCACAGTGACGATAACATTAAATAAGTTGGTTCAGCTTTAGGGCAGATTTGGTGTTCCAGAGATCATCGTTTCCGATAACGGACCTCAGTTTACAGCTGAACAATTCAAACAGTTTTGTGAGCGGCTAGGTGTTCAGCATATTCGCAGCCCGCCTTACCATCCTCAGTCAAATGGACAAGCAGAGCGTTTTGTTGATACACTCAAGCGCGCACTTCAGAAGTCAAACGGGGAGGGATCGATAGAGGATGTATTGCACAATTTCCTCTTCATTTATCGAACCACAACCAACCCATCATGCCCAAATCAAACATCTCCCGCAGAAGTTATGTTTGGAAGAAGACTACGTACTACTTTGGATACAATTATCCCGATCCCATCAAGACGGAGCAAATGTGGTCGAAATAGTGAATTTTGGTTCAATAGACGTCATGGCACCAAGCAAAGAAGTTTCATGGTTGGTCAGTTGGTACTGGTTCGTGATTACATACGGAGAGATCGCCCATGGGTTTCTGGAGTGATCGTTGGAAGAAAAGGCCAAGTCATTTACAAGGTCAAGGTTGGAGACCTTATTTGGATCAGGCATGCCAATCAAATAAGAAATAGACTAGTTGGTAAACAGTTGAACGATTCCAAGTCCGCCGACGTACAATTTGAGCTACTGATAGATACGACGGACCCGAAAACGTCACATGGCCAAAATATTCGAAACAAAGGCAAAGTGTCCCGGCAGCCAAGGAGATCACAACGACAACCAAGACCGCCAAAGTACCTACAAGTGATTCCGCGATACAAAAGCTACCGATAGCCCTATCTTAAAAGGGGAGGTGTTAGGAAGAGGCAAAACACATGCAATCATCAAGTTATTATCATGTCGTTGACATGCATTTGTTTCTGCTTTCTGATTGGACGCTTGCACAATTCCAAACTCTCAACAGGATTGGTCGATTTCCAGTCTACCTTATTTTTGCATAAATGCAGTCACTTTTGTCATAATAAATGATTCTGGTTTTACCGCTGATTATCGCGTGTTCTGCTTTACCAGTTAAGTGTGCACTGGTCAGTAGTTAAGCAGTTACCTCGAGACAAAGATCTAGCGTCATAACAATCACCAAGAAGACACCATGAGAACAAACAAAACAAGAACCAATCGCCCAACAAATATGCAGGAGAAGGTGGAGATGGATTGGACACTCTGGGTGACACCGCATGTAAGGCCCTTGAGTGGAACTTGAAAAGGAAGAGGCAAGTAGGATGTCCAAGGGTGATATTGGGGAGATAGTGTGAAGAGGATTTGAAACAGTATGGACTAACAAATGCGGATGAAAAGTACAGCAGAAAATAAACATAAACTTTGTACATTATGGCCTCCAAGAGATGCGTCACACTAAATTTTATAGTCATCATGAGGACTGAGATATGGCTCGAAAGCCCAAACTGAAGCAGGTGACTGTCTTAAGGGGCCACCTACTGTTCAGAGCCTTTGACCTGAAGTCTGATCTGCCTGGCAGTGGAGCAGCATCAGGAGGACTCCCACTTCTATGGACTTTGGTGACCAGAACAAATTTAAGTGTCACTTGATTCTTTCGGATTTTGAAGCCCATATACACCATAAGATTGGAATCACAGCCAGGGTTTTCTGGCTGCCCAAGATAGACGTACGTGCTCGCCAGTCCATTTGTGTAAGCTGCAGACTTTGATATTGGGACTTTCACTTTTGTGGAGAACATCCAGCAAGTCGCGTAAAGGCAGTAAGTCGGACTTACTTGGAGGAGGCTATCAAATAGTGGCCACATGAGAGCATTTGGAGAGGGGGGGAAGAGCGGCTGACGAAGGTTTAATCCATCTTCGAATGTTTTAAGGTCCTTTATGGAGGACTTTGAGTGAATATTATCCTAATTCCAGAATTATCAATTAAATTGTTAGAAATTAGAGATACAAACTGAACAAACACATCGGAAACCGTTGGATGGGATCACACGCTGGCCATGCCCTCAAGAGAAAATCGAATGGGAAGGGTCAGAAGACGACATGGTGAAAATCATAGGGCGAGATGGAGGTAAAGGCTTTTGGGTGGTTGTAGAGCCATGTTGAGAGAGTTGTGTGGCAAACAGACTGAACAGAGATATGTTCCGACTAAATTCCACCCTATAAGTTCCACTTGGAATGCGATGAATGAATTAGAATAACGATGATAATAATGCAAGTAAATAAATGTTTTGAAACACGAGAAATAGCCATATAAAATTTATTCATGTGTGTTTTGCTCACCTGTAGAAGTTTTCCAGGTGTTCTGATAATTTTGATTATCATTACACATGGTATAAGAAATATACTGAAACTTGCCATAAACCAACCCAATTTCACTGACCAGTTAGGAAAACGATAGACATGACTGGATGACGCCTGCATATATGTCAATTCTTGATAGACGATGACACTGATAATGAAGAGAATCTGAATATATTTTGGAAGTAGACAAGGTAATGGTAAACGACTTGTTAAAGGCAGCAAAAAACTAAAAAAAAAATAGAATTCTGACACTATTATTATTATTATTATCATCATCAAACTACTTAGTTTCCAGTGGAACATAGGGCATCATCAGCATATCTCCATTTCATTCGGTTCTCTGAAGTCTTCTTTAACCGACTGCTCACAAGCTTTCATCTCTACCGCCTCAAGCTATCTCCTGCATGTCACTACCCCCAAAGACCCTCACACCTAACTAGTTGATTACTGCATATTGAGAACCCGCTTTGGGGCCTGTCAAGCCTTTTTGGTTTCAGACAGTGGTCTCCATAGTGTATATTTATTATATCTGATTCCTTCTTTTTCTACATATTTATTGGTTCATTCGTTGCTGAATCCTTTGTTGCTTATTCTTTCCAGCTGTCCGATCATCTGATCTTGAGTACTGAGCAAAGAGAACGACTGTTGATGAAAGTTTACAGCAGCCCATTTGAAATGCCTTTGATGACTCTCATGACAAATCTGCGAAATATACTGGAAAAACCAACTGCCCTAACGTCGGTGTAATCATTTCGGAAATTGTTGTTATCTATTGTGAGCGCAACAGATTTTCACATCAATTTTAGATGCATGAAGATCTGTCTTACCCTTCTTGATGCTAACCGTCTTCAACATCCCCATCCATGCTACCTTCCTGTAGTATTGAAACAGTGCCATATAGATCAGGTTAGTGAAAGAGGGAACTTCTTTTAGATACCTCCTGTTGATGATGATATATGCTTGTTGTTATTGTTTGGATAAGTTCATCATCTCTGCTTCTCTGTCCATCTACTTGGAGTCCTGTCTTCGTTAGTTGCTTCTTATATTAAACGTTTTGGTTTTCCTACTGTGGATCTTGGAAACTGAGCAAAATTAAGGTACAATAATGGAGGAGATTTGTAACTATGGCGGATTATTTTTATTTAGTTGTGTTCTCTGAGCTGGCTGGTTTAATTGCGAAGCTTTTGTTGTCCACCTTCTCAACAATATCTTCCTTCAGACAAAGCTATGGCATGAAATGAACTTATTTGAATTCTCCCTCCATGAATGATGATATAATTGTATCTCCTGACATCCCTTGTTGTCGGGATTGATTGCTAATTTACACCTATCTCTCCAGATCATTTCTATTGACTTGGAATTTAAACTTTCTGATCATGTGATTTATACTTGATTAATTGGTCGCCGATTTATTTGAGTACCAGGCTTCTAGGAATTCCCTGGCTGCAATTTTGTGTTTCCTGTGGATTTCTAGAAGCCTCAAAATGACTGAATTGGTGAATTGATACAGTGAATTTGAAGGATATTTTAATCTTCCAGAAAGTTCTTTAGATAGGTTACATGCTGGTGGTCATGGTAGCGACAGTGAAGAAGCGAGATTTTCGTCTTCATTCTTTTTGTCTGGCTTTCTGAAGCAAAGTCGTATGCATCCTCACCATAGAACTGATTCTAAAAGGTCGTGCTATGAATCTAGCTGACAATGTACACTGTCACATGTTCGCTTTGCAACACAATGTGAATCCGAAAACTGTAAAAATAGAAACTGAGCACAAGCTTCTGTGCTGTAAAACTAATCGAAATACTTTGAACCCAGAGGACTGCTTCTGAAACATCTAAAAGACACCTGAATGCTTAATTATAACTTGGTGGAAAGTTTTGCTAATAAACAACCCAAAAATCCTCTTTCCATACATCAGTGGGATTTGAGAGTTTCATTAGTTAAGCGAGAAAGAATTAGTTCCTTTTATCTGTGACGAAGAACTGAAAAGCTTCAAACCAACTGTCCTAGACTTTTGACTAAGTGACACATCATGCAAATTGAAGAAATGATAAACAACAATGAAGACTTGATCATCGTGACGGAGTTATCTTACCACATAAAACAGATTATTTAAAAATAATTCAAAAGATTGTCTCATTGACGATGCCAGTTTGAAAAAGCCTTTTGGATTGAAAGACAAAACTTCCTTAAAACAGAAAACTAGCAAATAAAAATTCTCTCAAACAATAAAGGAAGATTCAATAATCGGTGTTGACTTCACTTATGAAACAAAGAAAGACAATATCCTGTCGTTTATTGACTTCCTGTTAACAAGAAGGCAAGATAACAGAGCATTATAAAATGGGATATTTTCCGCAAAAAAGAAATTATGAGTTGGCCAATGCACCTATTTTTTCAGATGGTTTGTTCCTCTTGCATACAAACAAAATCTCATTAGAATAATCCTTGCAGCTGACACTCTGGACGACGAAATAAGGAAATTAAAAAACTTACTATATGAGGACAGGTATCCAGAGAAATTTGCTAAATTCTCCATGAAGAGAAGAGATAAAGTGAGAAGTGCTTTGAAATCGTGTAGAAGGAATTTTTGTATCTATTTAACTTTACTAAGTTACTGGTATCAAAACTCCAAAAGAATAATAACTAACACATTCTTTACCCCTCGATGAGGTGTTTAAAATCCACCTCTCGTTGTCTGTTTCCAAAACAGGTGAAGAATAGGCTACCGAATTTGGATACCTCAGTGTTTATTCACAAATTTAACTGTTCTCGTGGAAATAGTTACATATTTAATATAACAACAGTCATCACAAGTTCACAGTTGTCTTCTTGAGCTTTGTCCAACATGATTAGTTACATAAAGGAGTCGTAGAGTCACTTAGGAGTAGCGATATCGACTGGCATATCTTGGGATGGATACGGCGCTCAATATTAATGAAAAAATTCAGCCTTTTCTGCTGGTTGTATACAAGGTGCCACCTATCGATTCTCTGTAATTTTTACTCCTTCAAGATAACTAAGCATATGCGAGCGAAGCCAGCTGCCATAAAAGCAGTTTCCGAACCAATCTGTTTCTTTAGAGAAAAAGTTTCTTCACTCCATGTATATTCCATGGCCTCCAACTCCATCCCACAACCTAGAATAGTTATTACTGCTAGTGTGACACAGAATAATTGTAAATATTATTTATATATTTTTATTTGTACTGCTTACTGTATTATCGGTATCATAATGTGTACTATATTTGCATTTTTCTATCTTAGTTTCACAATTTACTATTATTTATGGTCACCTCAATTTTAATCCACTCACCGGAATCCCTGAATTTCGAATCTATTTAATTCCACTGATCTACATTATTCCAAATGTCTGTGGATTTAACGGATGATTTATGATTCATATCACACAAATTCGAAGACTTAAAGGTGAAAACCAACAAGCTCTCGAAAGAATCGGCAAAGACAGCAGTTCAAGTGAGGATAGAGGATGAGGATGAGGAGGTGATGAAGATAATTAGCCAACAGTAACAACAATAACAAGTCACTATCAAAAAAAAGACATTTGATAAAGGTCACTTCTTTCATTGGTCTGGCTAGGTGGTATCGGTTCAACTACAAGTGGAGTAGACGAGAATGTCGAAGTGAGGTAGAATCAGAAAAGCAAGACATACATTCATTGCTCTGAAATCAGTTTGGAAATCTATCACACTCCCCTACAGCAGGACAACAAATTCATCCAGAATTTCAACACAAAATTTAGATGAGTCAATTCCTCCATATAGGTCAGAAACGTGATAAGTGCGTCACAAAAAGCATTTCCAACATCCACCTGCAGACTTTTATCAACGGTTGTCTTCTGTGACTTCATACTAAAGATCAGGTGGCCGGCTAGAAAGAATTTAGCAGCAAAGAACTCTGTCAACAAAGCTATAAGGAACCTATTGTTCGACAAATATCTCACAGTTGGATTGGACACATTTACTGAGGAGACTATTGATTGACATCATACAGCAGCCAAACCATTGCTGGAGCTCAAGCTGAATGGAGAAGGACGAGTTGAGCATGTGTCCGAGGGCGACACGGAGGAGATTGTATATTGAGGAGAAGATCATAGCCTATAGGCGATCGTAAGGAGAGCTAAAAAGACTTCAGAAAAGAGGATAAAAAAAGAGATACGCCTTTACAGCTGAAGCCTCAGGTTCTACTAGGAACGCAAGGAAGCCACAAGATACAAATATGTAATTGTGTATCTCATTAATGAGAAATTCAGGACAAAAATGAGTATTCGACTGCTAAAGTATAACTTTCCAAGTCAATGACTTCAAGCCTCTTATGGTTTGAAAGATATAATAGTAATATGACAAACCCAGGTTCCTATCCTGGCAGCGACGCCAGTGCGTCGGTGGCATAGCGGCTGGGACTCAAGCCGACCCTGCACATGGTCCGGGGTCCGATCCCCGACTGACGCACTCCTTTACTTCCCTAAGCCAGAAATAATGCTGGTAAAGAGGAAAGGTTAAGTATGAGGCTAGCAACCCCATCCTTTAAAATTAAACACCGCTACAAGAACTTTAAGCCACTAGTTTGAAGCCCTATGTTCCACCGGGGAGCGTGAAGGAAAAAAAATAATGAAAATAATTAATAATAATAATGTTGCTTACAAGAGTGAATATTGGGGTTAATACGCACCAAAATATGAATGCCAACCATTTCAAGGAAACACCATACATTAATTTCATGTCTTCTGAAATACGTTTGAAACCTGAAAAACAAAAAAAACAACGACAGTTTTTCGTTAAATTTCTTACAGATTATTTCCTCTATTTTATGAATAATCCCCGTTTCCAAGGATTGCTATTTTATTCATTCGTTTGTGTTCCAAACTGCTGCTCAGCTTTGCATTTTAGTTGCGGTGGTTTCGTTAGCCTCACGCCAACCCCATCCTCCCTTCTTTGCTGGTATAAGCGAGGTTCAGGAGCAAACAAGTCATCGGCTTGGAATCGAACACCCAAACACGTAAGTAGTTATGTCAAAATTCAACCAGTGAACCACCTACGCAATCCCTCCTATTACATAACTTTATTTTAAATATCATATGGTGATAGTGCCGTATTAATAACTGGATTACAAAATTTCGAGTATGAATTACTGCCAGTCATAATTAAATCAGTTTAGTCACACGGCTTCACAATTTATCTTACACATGTTTTATCTCTCTCTTTCTCTTCTTTTTTTTTTTGTTATCACTTTCCATATTTCTGGTATAGGTGTTGTGCCATTCCGATAGTAGGTGTATGGTGCTGAATCGATAAACAAACGTTCATTGACCAACCTCTCCGATTCTTTACCTAGCAAAATCACTTTTTAATACTCTCACCCCGTCCCACCGTATTTTTTGATTGCATCAAAGTGAATGTAGTGCAATGGGTGAGCTTTTTTCTAGATTATTTAAATTACTTTTTGGTGCATTACATTATTTTTCTTATTCATATCTGTTGAGTCGTTCAGCTGATATAGTTTATCTCTGAGAGTGTTGGTTGGTTGGTTTAAATGCCACCCCGACTAATTCTAGACTCCTTGTGAATCCTACATAGTAGGGATGTCTGATGTTCCTTCTTTATATGACAGTACTACAGAGCTTTGAGTTCTATATTACTTTTGTCATTTTCACAAATGTGGATAGTGACAACAAACAACAAGAGGAAGAGGGAGAAAGAGGGAAAAACTACATGTATAAAGCGAATCATGAACCCGAGTTAATACATTGATATCGTTTTGAGCAGTATACAGCGTTCGAAACATCATCCAGCTCTAAAAATACTGCATCACTGTGCATGATATTTAAAATTAACCTCTCTGTCATAGAAAAACATTCAACTACAGTACCCAAATTCTACACTCGAATTAATCACTTACGCAATCATTCAGGTGTTACTGAAAAGTCAAAGGAGTAAGTCAGCGAAAAGGAGCTCTTTTCAACAATTTCAGTCTCAAGAGTAAGTTTGTAAGGGGAGATTTGAATCTTTAAAGTTTGGTCACGGATTCATATCACGATTAAAGAACTATTGAAAAGCAGCAGCATGAAGCAACGAAAGGGTGTTTCATCCTCTTTCTTTGAGACTCTTCTCTGCCATGAAACTACAACTTCAATATGAGTCTGACCTAGGAGAGTTGGGATGCGAGGCCAACCTCACTGAATACTATCCATTCAGTTGGGATGGAATCCAGAAGAACAGCTAACCAGCACGCACTGTTAGATTTCAAATGTGTCTCTAACTAATAGTGTAGCGTATGTTACTGACAATATTTACGAGCAGTACATAGATACAGATATACATATGTTTATCGGGCAAATTTAAAGTTTTGACACCAACCAACCAATCAGCAAGCGAATTTGAACGGACCAATCATATTAAAGGGGCATCTATGATAAGTGGAGACGCATATATATAGAAAAAAAGCATAAAAGAAAGCATAAGACTGTTACAGGGGTAATCTTCCCCTTACATGTGAAATGAGCATCTCCCAGTTAGGCAACGGACTGCCAATAGAAAAGTTACACCACATCCTGTACATATATTCATCCAAATGACTATAAATGAGATCCTTATGACATCCATTTATACCCCTTATCCTATTTTTCAACCCGCCTCAAAATCCTTCAATAAAATGTGTATATGTCCTCGTAACGGGATCGACAGAATCACCTGAATGGTTGACTCTATGATGAATATATCCCAGAGATGACAGGGAATTGTAAGCTTTCCATTCGCCCGTGCGTATTATTGATCCCCATTTTACAAGTCTGGTAATAATAGGTATTAGAGTGGTCGACTTTCTATCTGCTGTTCTTTCCACGAATCCCTTTTCGGAGGGAGGTGTCATACAAACCTATTACCCAAATATATTTGGGTCTTTTCATTCTAAAGTAATGCCAGTCAGTGCTGAAAATGATCTGCGAAGGCTTAAATTAGGCTGAAAACATTGCCACTGTGTGCTGAATTGAGTCTTTTCGTTCTAAAGTAATCCTAGTAAGTGCTGAAAATGTTCTGAAAGGGCTGAAATAAAGCTGATGAGCGAACCCGGTAGGTTCTGATCTACTCCTAACAATGCTTAAAAGAAGAACACGGTGATGATTTAGCGCTAGTTATGCTGAAAACTAGCACTGAGTTCTAGTCTGTGCCATTAAACAGTCGATTTCAGAACAAATTCAGAATTTACTCACTATAGGATGCTAGAATTATTTCAGAATTACTAAGATTTAATTCAGAATTATAATAAGCTTGGGTAGTGCTCGCTCGCTGCTGACCACGGTTGTATTTCTTTTCCACCAACACAGTTTCATCGACGTGTACAACAACGTCTTCTCCACCTAACAAAGAATTGATTTTCTCCATTTTCCACGAAGCACTATCTCTGCAATGCTGGTACCATTGAACCGTTGAGACGTGGCTATTCTCCGTCTCAGCAGCTACGGCTCTCATTGGCTGTTTCAAGACCAAGTAGTTGCAGATATACAAAAATATTAAAATTATCAGCATACCCTCTCTTATGCTAACTCGCTTCAAGCATATTGCACAACAATCGACAAGTTGCCGACAAGGCAACTCTAAAGAATAGCAGTCCAAACCGAAACTACCTGGCGAACGGACAAATGACCTTGACAAGGACAACTTCGACCAATCAGCAGGCTCAAAAATCGGCGCCTAATTGTAATAAGTCGTTTATACATATGGAATGCGATGTTAAAAAATAGTTACAAAGGACAACGCTCTCGTATATTTTGCGAAAATTTCTCAATTTCTCATAGGAGTCTTGATTCTAATGTTAAACGAAGTCCTGTATATAAACTCGTCGATACAACTGTATATTATTGCATTTCTTGATCCATTCACAGATCTGATACGTTTTTTTAGAAGACTCCAGAAACTGTCAATGAAATTGGCGTGAGTTCCATCAAAATGATTGAGAAAACCATTTGTATGGTTGACCACTTGATGAATATGGCCTAGATTCGATAACTGACTGTAACTACTCCTTTCATCTGTATAAATAGTCTTCCCAGGAAGCACGTAGCGCTGGATAATAGGCGGGAATACACCTGCACTGCGGTTAGGGATCGCCTCATTATATCTTTCCTGGACGCTGGTGTCACATATCCCCAATACCTATTGCTGATTCATACTCAATCTCCCTCTATTGTATATCCTTATCAAAAGTACCTAAGGAATCTGTGAATTATAAACGAACGACATAGGTTCTCGAACAGTCCGTTCTCCAAACAGTAATTAAAACAAGATCCGGAGCGAATTTGCAATGCAAAAGGTGTAGAGCATCCATAATTAACTCTGGAAATAACAGTCACCTGATTCCTTGCTCAAGGTCGCTCGTGCGTTCAAAGGTCGTTTCGGTTTGGGCTGCTATTCTTTAGAGTTGCCGACAAATCCATCAGTTGGCCTGCTAAAGCTTACCAAAGTCATGACACCACCATACTGACAAGTTCGCTCCTTCTGAAGAAACCCTAAATCCAGGAAATACTGGAAAACACTGTCCTCATCGAATTGCAACCGTGACCTTGTTAGAGTACGCAGTAGAAATGAATCAAGTGCTATACAACAGTGAACTAACGTTCGTGAATCTCATTGGATATTTCGACGTCGTTCGCTGATTGGTAGTAAGTGGTGCTCAAATTTTAACTTGTCCACTGTGCGTGTTGGTGGGCACCTTAAATTAGTAAACCGATAGAAATTAGCACTGATTGGACATCGGATTCAGTTGCAGTGGTTGAATGGTATATGTGTCCGCCTTAACTCCTGGAATTTCCCAAGTTTACTCCATTATGAAGTTATGGGTGCGTACTTCAAAAATGGTTCGAAACAGCGGGGGTTTAAACGGCTGTTAAGTAAAAAATACTGCGGATTTCAATGGTTCTATAACTAATGTCCATCCGTGGACCAATTTGGTTTCACTTCTTTCTGTCTGTAGAACTGCTCTACACAAACAAACAGACAGACAGATAAACCGGAGCTCTGTTTGCGAAACAGAATTATTTAACCCTTTTCTACTGTTATGTCAGTGACATTGTTGTTATCAATACGATTTGTTTTTAACTCTTTCCGATTCTCATATAAGAAAACATCTAAAAAGAAAAGCCGTTCAGCGAAGAGTTACTCCTCTTTTTTCAGCCATATCATTCTCAAGCAGTGCAGTTGCAGTTACAGAAACCTATAAACACAGTGGGGTAACTTCTTCATTTCTTCCACTTTCAAATACCATATCTCACAACTGTAAAAGAGGACCACATAAACTGCTGAACAGTAAGTACACTTGCCCAACATATAAAGACACACTTCATCAAGTCATTTTCAAACTAACTAACTTACCGTAGATATATCCAATTGCTGTAGATTCCAATAGTCCTACAATCAAGATGATGCGACTTCCAGTGTAATAATCGAACAATTGGAATACATACATTCCACCCTAAAAGAAAAAGAGGATTTTTAAAAAGTTATCCTTTTCAAGAGCTATTTTTGTCAGAGGGAGATTTAACTTGTTCAAAGTTCTATCATAGACTGATATAACCTAGAGAGTCAATGAAAACGACCAACAGTAACGAGTACTGAATAGCTGAAACTCCCTATTAGCAGTATGCACCTACCATATGGGTTTGAAACTCTTGAAAATAATCTCATCTTGTCTCTTGACTGGCTATAATGATGGGGTTATTTGCAATTCTAATGAGAAGCCAAGTTACCAGCGGGGTCCAGGGAGTCTGGTAAGAACACAGGTACTCGTCGGCAATGACAGTGGCTAGCAATAGCGTTAAAACCACAAAATGGTAGGAGTAGGAATTTAATTAGCAATTGAATCCGTCCCAGTAGTGACTGGATGTCATAGGAATCGGCTTAAAATAGTAATCATCTTATGACTCATAATGTGATTAACTGAGTGATCGGATGGTTTTAAAATTTCGTCAACCTTCTCTTATCTTGGTCTTAGTAAAATCTCCAGTGAATCAGAACGATATATATCCAATGCCCTGGGCCGATTCTAATGTGGTTAAAAAATACATAAGTATGACTTGCTTTCTTCTCTCAATGAAAAATTGTATCCTAAAAGTCACAGGCACCAGTTTTTTATTTTGATAAGTACATGGCTAAGTGAAGGAAGAGCTAAGGTGCCACGGACGAATAAGCGTATTTAGCATATCAGTTGAGTTATTCATTGAGTCAGTGTTTTTGTTATACACATGCATAAACCCGCTTGATTAAATCAACTGTGGACCCCATCAAATCGGTGACATAGATCACAACAGACCCTCTCTCAGTCAACGGGTGATTTTAAGATCATTTAATGATTGCAATCGATTGGATAATGCGACAGACAACGTCAACCAACGAGGGAACAGGCATAAAATGGACTGACACAAAAGACTTGGAGGATCTGGATTTCGCCGATGATATATGTCTGATTTCCCATAAACTGGAAGATATGCAAATGAAAAGTAACAAGTTGGCAGAAGAAGCATCAAAGATAGGACTTCACGTGAACATAGATAAAACAGAGATGATGAAGATTCCTTGCCAACATCAAAAGCAACAACAGACCACAATAAGCATAAATGGGAAGAACCTGAAAGAAACAACCTCCTTCACCTACCTGGGAAGCATCGTCTCAACTACAGGCGGAACTGACGAGGACATCAAAGCCAGAATCGGAAAAGCAAGACAAGCTTTCATTACTCTCAAATCTGTGTGGAGGTCAACAGCAATCAGCATCAAAAATAAGATCCGGATTTTCAACTCCAATGTGAAGTCAGTGCTACTATACGGATCAGAGACTTGGCGAGTCATAAAGAGCATCTCAAACAAACTTCAAACCTTCATTAACAACTGTCTCCGCTCAATACTCAAGATCAGATGGCCAGCCAGAAAAGATCAGCAACAGGGATCTCTGGGAGCGAACCAATCAGGAACCGATTGTGAAACAAATAGGCAGAAAGAAATGGAGATGGATTGGCCATACGCTGAGGAAACCAACAAGTGACATCACTAGACAAGCCCTCGAGTGGAACCCGAAAGGGAGGCGGCGAGTTGGTCGTCCAAGGGTGACTTGGAGGAGGTCATGTGAAGAGGAGATGAAAGCATGTGGGCAGACCTGGAGCAGGGTGAAAAAGTTGTCAAAAAACCGAAGTAAATGGAGGTGCGCAGCTGAAGCCCTATGTTCCTCTAGGAACTAAAGGATACAATAATAATAATAATAATAATAATAATAATGAATTCATGGCGACTTAGTAATAATAAGAATAAGAATACATCAGGTAAGAATAGCATTGGTTTGTGCAGGATAAGGCGGTAATGTTAGTCTAATAACTGGGCTTGTGATCAGAAGGTGCCGTGGGTTAGTAGCCAGTAGTGGGTGTGGACTGATGAACTGTCTCAAACAAGCAGGACGAGCCTGTCTTGTACTCTAGTACTGGCTTTCCAGTGGTTCTATAACTGACATCAATCCGTGATCAGACATGTAACCATTTGAATCCCTCCACACCAATACTTTATAATTGTTTATTTCGTCGGCTACTAATTATCTCTGCGTAAAACCTAAAAGAATTAATTTATCTTATCTGCAGATCACTTTTAACATACTTGCGAATATGGTTACACGATGTCAGTGTTACTGATAGGAGGGACTTCAAACGTTAATTAACAGTGCTCATAAAATAACACAATTTATACACTGAAAGTCCAAGTTTCAACATAAGAGTTGAAGGCTTGGTACAAAAGTAAAACAGATGAATAAGATGATGAGTAACCAATAGAATGATTACCGATGTAGTGAGTTGAACTCGAAGCATAGAAACAGGAGATAAACAGAGTCACAGTATATTAGACGGAGGGACAGGCTAAGGTCAAAGACAACACAGTGAAATGTGTGTGTGTGTGTGTGTGTGAGATAGAGGCCGGAAAGACATCCAGTTATCAAGTGGGGATTGAAGGAAAACTGATAAATGCTTCCTTCTGAACACATGCATAAATGGCATTTCGGGCGTTTTCGATAGCGAAATTGCTTTGGAAAAATTAAGGAGAATTGAACTGCACATATATATATATATATTTTCTATTGGTAAACTTGAAGGATTTCAAGGTGTCCACCTTATGCTGTACTACAGTGTGAAAGCTTTTATTTAGTTTGAGAGATGTAGGCTTTTGGCTGCATATTCATGTTCTTACTTCTATGATTTGAGTTGGGTTGAAAACACCACATCATCTACTCAGTTTACTAGTCATTACATCAAAGCATATATTTTACTCTATTTCTTATGTTCGATGTATCAACGACAAGTCTGTAGTGTGCAATAGTAAAAGTCATGCTTCCTAAGATAAGCGGATAAGATTCCGCTTTCTGCCTAGAGGCACTCAACTTTTGAAGGTGTTAGTGTACTGCCCTGTAAAGCTTGGCTTTCGATAAACGTATCTTTAAAACGTGCAGTCCTCTCTTCTATCTAGCGGCACATCTAATTAGTGAAATGGTGAATCAGACCATTCTTTGATACTGAAAAGATAGATTGGTGCGAACCATTAAATTAACTATTAATTACAGCTTGAAGGTGAAGTCATTGAAAAGACATAAACTCGATTAATTAATATCTGCAGACTGTATGCAGAGGTGATGAAATAAAAACTGATGGTATCACGTCATATTATTCTGCACAAACCACTGCTGCTGTTTTTGTTTTATTCAAATTCAGAAAAAGGTGGGAATAACTGTGTATGAAATCAGAGATCAACTTACATTGGTGACCATAGATAAACCAACCAAATAGGATGCAAAGCATACACAGCCGACAAATAGACAACGAATCCATGTTTTCGCCATCGCATGGGGGAAATAATCCGTCGCAGCGGTTACAAAACCTTCTACTCCACCAAACTGTTTAGAAGCAACATAAACATAGAGAGACAGAGAGTAGTACAGCGGGTTAAGAAAGCTATTTTCTGTTTAATTCGTGGAAACTTCTCACTGGAACATATAGAAAATCAAATATTTATGATTATAATCACAAACATTTTAATTGCATTTCATACTATTAGGATAAAATTCGTCAATAGGTTGGATATTTATTATCGTGAATAACTGAAAGAGACGCAGAGACAGAGCAACTAAAAGTTTTTTTAATCACCAAGATCTACCAAGTACACTAAAGCCATCAATTCGCATTTGAAAGACCATCTAAAAAAACTTAACTCTGTCAGGTGAGTTTAATCAGGCATATCCCTGATGATTACTTATATCATATTCTGTTATTCCCATAGGGTTCCAAGTGGAAAATAGAGCTTCAATCAGGGCATATCTTTATTTTATCCTGTTCTGTTTCAGCCTTCATAAGCTGGCTTAGCGGTTCACCATACGCTTATAGTTTGTTCTACATCACAAATCTCCTCTATGTTCCCCGTTCGACTACGCAACCAACTCACCGTTTCTCATTCGGATCCCACTTGTGGGTTTGTGTGGTCTCTCCTACCTCAGCAAAGCCCTAAAAAGTTCAATAAAAAGGTACTTTGTAGACTATGAACATGATATTGAAGCCGTCAAGTCGTTCGGTGTTGTCAGTAGAAGAACAAACACAAATATGCTTGCAGTAACCGAGGTGGTTTCTGCAATTAGAGATCATAAACCCGGTCTCCGCGTATACAGAAGAAACTGGTGATCACTGTGAATCCACTATAGTAATATGTTTTGCTTACTAACTTTCATTATTATTCTTAGCTTTATTTTATCTCTTATTATTACTATTTCTGATTCATTTAAAACTACGCTTTATTGGTAGCATTATCTTAATTCGTTTCAACATTTTTATTACTGTTATCATTATTATCAATGCCATTCATTTCGCAGTTTTTGATATACATATTGAAGTTATTTCACTTTGTGATGATTAATTGTTTATCTAAGTGATGTAATTGAACCATAGTGCATTTTATTTTAGGTTTAATCCCTCTTACTCCCTTCCCCCCCCCACTTATCTATGTGAACACGATCTGAAAAATACTCACAAATATATTACTGCATGATTAATTTAATGTGGTTTATTTGCTTATCAGTCTTATATCTTTTAATGTATTTCCAATAGTATATATACCGTTGTATGTAGAGCATTCGGATGGAGAGTTCTATTGAAATTTGATGAAATCATTGAACCCTGCTTTATTAACACTTTCTGTTGCTTGTTTTCATTTTGTAAGGGGGAAATAAATGTTTCCAATTATCATTTATGATTGAAACAATCAGATCACATATATTTTGATAGGAATAACTTGGTTTCTAAAGGAAAGTTTGTTGAAATTTCACCAATCGAACTGTCTAGACTGCAAATTGTGAATTGTTTTTAAGAATCCACGAGATAAAATTAGCTCGTATTAAATCGTATAAAAGGATAAATACTCACCACCATTAACATTTGCTTATTCCAGTCGCGCTGAAATCATGAAATAACAGGAGTTAGAATTCATCGACTGGACAGTGAATGGTCCTGGGCTTGAAACCATGTGATGGATGGCGACTGATTATTGGCTCCAAACCAGGACTCCAGAGGGTTGCTCACTAACAAAACCACAGAAACGATGCAGAAGGCTCGTTTGCCATTTGCCATCTGTTGCTGTTTCTCACGTAGATGTGATTAATGTACGGCTGGCTGTCAATCAAAGGACGTATATACTGTATAGCAGCAGTTTTCTGTATCCTCCATTACGACAGTGAAGCTTGTTTATTGAAAGTGGAAGTCATAAAAAGCCTGGCTAGCTGTCTTTCATCACAGGTGTCTGAATTCTATCTCCCATGTTATTTAAGTGGTGTAATAGGGCGAGTAATATTGAGGTGAAGGTTCGATCGGGTGTAAGGTGAGGAAAGAAAGTCAACCGATGAGGTTGAGAAGCAGAGTTATCAGTTGAGATGGTTACGATATTTTCTACGCATGCACACCAGGCCGTCGCCTTTCTAGACGAGAAACTTTAGCCGCTGACATAGGATCAGGTTGGAAAAGAGTTGGCTGGCGGTGGTCAAATCGAAACATGGCTTCATCAGTCGATGAAATCCACAACAGCTAGTTTAAGCCAGCCAGCCAGCCAGCCACGTAGGGAGGTGTAGACAGCCTGATTGGGTGGTTGGGATCGTCAGAATGACAACTACCAATGACGGCTGGAGAAAACTGGAGGTGATATGAATCATAGGATGGCTTAGATGCATTCACTGTTTGTGTGATTTTCCATATAATCTAATAAAACTCTGTTCTTCTTCCATATTACTTACTATTGTTTTTCTGTTTACTATCTCTCTTAACTCTCTTCTCTTGTACTTTGTGTGCTACATAGAGGCGGAGTGGCAACTCGAACTGCACATCTGTGCAGGGTTCTGTTTTGAAACCAGTTATGCATCCAAGTTAGGTGTGAGGACAAATACTTGCCACCGATAAAATTGGCTGAGGCCTGTCACATTAAAATCTCAAAGAGATATAAGTTAGAAATCATGGGTCGTAGAGCCTCAACTTTCTGTTCTTCCCGTTTTTAGTAGTCTCCACATGATACGTTGGTCTTCATAACAAGAAATATATGCATTGAAATGATAATGAAGACAGTGGGATTATTAGCTTACCATACTGTCGATTCCAAGCAGTATAATCATCGAAAAGAAACATATTGACCAAAATGGACTTCCTGGCATTGTCCCGATTGCTTTTGGATAAACAACAAACCCCAGACCTGGACCAGATTCTGCGATTAAATTCAGTGGGATATTTGATATGTGTGACATATATCCAAGGGTTGAGAAGATAACACAACCAGACAAGAGACTTGTACATGTGTTAGCCAGTGCGAATAAAGTGCAATCCCTAGATGTATAATAAAGAGAGAAATAAGGGACATTAGGGAGATTATTAAATTATATTATAGAGGTTTTCAAACATACCTTTCAACCTTCTTCAGCCATAAACATGTGTCAGGTGATCCATAACGGATGACTCAAGCTGTGTAGCATGCCTTTGAAGTGAGTGAAGTTAGGAGTTTAAGGCAACGCTAATTACTCTCACCAACAATAATATTCCTTAGTGTGGTGTGCTGTACGCGGAAGACTGAGTGATAAGGAATAAAAGGTCTCTAGAAAATCTATAATATGCGTTTGGCTTATGTCTAATGTAGCATAAACTCGAAGATCTACAGGCGAAAACCAAGAATTTGGCGGAAGTAGCAGGCACTGAGGATATCACTTAATCTATACGGAGAGAAGGCATTCTAGCCCAAATAGTCAAAGAAATGGTCAGCAAGGTTGGCCTTGTAACATGAAGCTTCTGCACCGTTGAATCGTGAAAAATGGGATCACGGTTGAATACTGATGAAGAGTCCCAATACAGGACGTCACAGGTCACCAATGATCTCTCTAGCTAATGCTAGTTTGTGACAAAAATCTAACAATTAGAATCGAAGTTCACAAACTGAAAAGGCTCTACACTAAGGATGTTGTCTAGAAAGACAGCACAAGGATATCAAATATTACAGTCACGTGTTCGCCTGTCAACCAATCAAATTTTTAACCACCTGGAGATCTACATTCACTTACTTCAAGGAATTATGATGTAATTTGTTATAACTCCCGAAAGCTGTCAACACTCCTAAACCGATACTGTAACTGAAAAAGATTTGCGTTCCAGCGTCAGACCATACCTTAAAATGAAGGGAAGGGAAATCAAAAATGAATAAAAATTATTTTGAGTTTTTAATATTTCGTACACATTATCACATTGAAGCGAAATGCTCATTCAACGTCTCTCTCTCTCATTCTCTTGTGACATGTGTCGGCTGGCGTCCAGTAGGTGGAGCCCTCAACAAATTTAACGGAATAATTATTTGAAAAATACCCCCTGAAAGATCGGATCACAACTTTAATACTTAGTGGGATGTTTTAACTAACTTTGTAATTATCATCCTCTGTTCTTCTAGACTGTCCTATCATTGAATCTGATATTTGCACATCATAAGTTTATTTGTTCTGTATTATCTGTCTTTATCCCTGTTTAATCTCTCATTTTAATGTTTCTCTTCTGAGTGAAGTTAAGGTAATTCTGAATGCATGGGCTATCTGCGGAAATCAATGGCGTGTGATTTTTGTGGACAGGGCTTTGATCCCATTGTGTTGCTTAGAATATGCTACTTGATTATAGAATACCTCGTACACTTGAATTTCGGTAAGCTGATTTTGTTCTACAATACTTGTTTTGTACTTAGAATATTCTCTTGTCTATATAATTGCCTAGTAAAACTTTTGAGGTAATTTTGAGCTTTTGATGTGTTATCGCTGCTAAAGAGAACGACACATATAGTTTTCTTTAAGAACAGTTGTCTTTAACCGTCTCTGGAGCTTCTTTTTGACTTTGCGTCTTTAATGGAAATTTCAGACAGCAATACAGTAGAACGTGAAGATCAATTTCTTGTGTTCAGATGACACAGTGAGTCGGTATGGGCTGTTACAATGAATGATATCTAAGAAGGTTTAATGTATCGATGTTTGTTGTTTTGATTGTTGATAGAGGTGACTAGCAGCAGCAGCAGCAGTATGGGCAGGATCCAGGATGCATGAACTTCATCCTGCTTAGAACTCTTCAGCCTGGTGAATTTACCAACATTCCCAGTGATGAGTAAATGATGATGTTTCCATCGCTGAGACTGAACCCATTGACTTCCACTGCTTCCACTTCACTGTCAGTCACAATTAAAGACAGTTTTACTTTAGACAGCTATATGACAATACCACGTGTCAACTGATCTAAAACGGAAAGGTCAACGAAGCCTGCCTTTCTAGTGATGATAAGGCTGTTGACTACTATCACCTACAAAGATATTCCTAAATGTGATGCACTGGATTATTTGGCACACCATGTGTAGAGAGCCAGAAGGTGGGGATATGTTGAACCGATAAAAAAGACTCTCGAAGATGTGACGACACTCACCGATGATTGTCTATAGGCCCTCATCTCTTCCGAGTACTGTCTCCTGCATGTCACCCTCAAACAGCACATTTGTCTTTTCCATTCGGGTTCCATGCAAGTGATGGTCTGATCGGCACGCGATGGCAATCTACGGTCTCTTCAGCATGTGCCTAATCCATCTCCATTTTATCCTGCATATTTGTTGAGTAATAGATTATTGATTAGTTTTTCCCATAGTTTCTTGTTGCTAATTCCTTCTGGCCATCCGATCTTCATTATGAATCCACTAAAGACAGCTGTAGCCTGTTCGAATTGATTTTTGTGAAGCTCTAGCCAAGTTTATAACCCATATAGAAGAATTGACCGACTGACTGAACATTGGTGTTGAAAATCCAAATTTTGTTGTTTACGTTGAGTGCAGAAGATTTCCAGACTGATTTCAGGTTGATGAGGGCGTATCTCGCCTTCTCGATTCTAGATGGATTTGACATCTTCATCCGTTAGGCTGGGTGTAGTTGAAACGATGCTTCCGGGCCAATAACAGTGATTAGTGCTGGTTGTTGTCACAGTTGGCAATCTTCATCACTTCCATCTTCTCTTTGTTCACTTAGAGTGTTTTCTTCGCTGCCAGCCTCATCACTCAGTTTTTTGGTTTTCAGCTCGACATCTTCGAGTTTTTGTTTACTGTTAAACATAAGTGATCAACATGTGAAATCCCGATCTTCTAGAGTCTCCATATCATCAAGAACCTATTACTCCACGAATATGCCAAAGAGAATGAACATGAATCAGATACATGTACTGAGGAGACCGCTGACTGACACCCCATGGCCCTTGTATGGGACTCAAATCTGAAGCGCTAAATAATGAGCATGTGACTTCAAAGGTGATAAGTAATAATCGTTCAACTAGTTGAAAAGACCTCGTGTAGACAGCTGAATGAAATGAAGAAAATCACTAGTAGAACTTACTGTCATATCTGTTAACCTTGACCAATCCGGTTTCAGATAGTGGATTAGACCATCTGTAGCACCTTCTAAGATTATAGTTCTTATCAGTAGCGTAATCATAAACACATAAGGTAACGGGGCAGTGACATACATAACCTGGAAAAGATTGAAAAATACGGAATGATTGGAATTCTCAATTTATACAATTCAAGGTAAAATGTTTTGCTACGGGTGTCACCTGGAAAAAAAGCTATTCAAATCTCCGTATATGTGTTCCATTCGCTGCCATAAACAGCACTCAACAAATCAAGCAGGAGTGCATGGTAGTCTGTGTAGTCTATGACTGTCTGTTTGAAATAGCTTTTTGACTTGCGCGTCAAGTTTCCGACTCATTTAGAGGAACTGATTAACTAAACGTTATTGTTGAAACTCTAACCCTTGTACTTTATGCTATACCAGAGTACAGTAGATTTCTGAACTGATTTCAGAGTGTTGAAGCTGTGCCTCGCCTTGCCTTTGGTATGCTGTCTGCCTTTGATACCCTCATATATACCATTGTAACAACAGAAGACAAGGGCCAGGCAACAGATCGTTTTATTATGAAAATCAACACGTATTTATACATATTTCAGACAACATTATTATAGACAAGCGCAGTCATCTGATTGGTTGTTTAGGTAGACAAACGCAGGCTTCTGATTGGTTGTTTCGGGATTCCTTGACAAACAGAGTTCTCTATCTGCGAATCATATTTTGCCACGTTAACTTCGCTGTGATTGGTTGTTGACTCAGCCTTGTTCACGGCCCATATTAGTGACCTAGACCTTAACGTAGATTAGTGCCAACCAATCGGCTAGCAGCCTGCTCTCACCACACTCGTCCCCCCGTCAAATACGTGCGACTGAAGTCGGCTTGATCTACTTGGTGCAGGCGTCATCGTTGGCTTGTCTCGCTGTATCCATTTCTGGAGCTCGCTGACGTTCACGCGCCTCTCATTGTTCGCCATTGCGACTGTGTCTGCGTAACCCCATCTCGAAGTGACCATATATGGTCCTTCCCACTTTGGAAACTGTTTGCCTGACCCTGTCGAACATTCGTCCATACTTCGGCCGACACCTTCATATGCTGCTTTCGCCCGACCTCCCAGCAGCGTCTCAAGTAGCAGCTCCATCGCTGGCAGATCTTGAACGCCACTCAACTGCGCAGAAGCCTTGAAGTCCTGCCCGAAGATCCATATGTCTCCATCAAAAACTGCAGGGTATAGGCTTTTCATTTGTCGGTAGGCAGCGACACCAAATGTAACAACAGAAGACAAGGGCCAGGCAACAGATCGTTTTATTATGAAAATCAACACGTATTTATACATATTTCAGACAACATTATTATAGACAAGCGCAGTCATCTGATTGGTTGTTTAGGTAGACAAACGCAGGCTTCTGATTGGTTGTTTCGGGATTCCTTGACAAACAGAGTTCTCTATCTGCGAATCATATTTTGCCACGTTAACTTCGCTGTGATTGGTTGTTGACTCAGCCTTGTTCACGGCCCATATTAGTGACCTAGACCTTAACGTAGATTAGTGCCAACCAATCGGCTAGCAGCCTGCTCTCACCACACCATCACATCTAGTTGAAACGTTGTGGCAAGTCCATGTAAATAAAATGAAGTGAATTCCTTCGAAGTTCTCCCGTTGATAGTCATTGATGCTTGTTGTTGTTCAGGTAATGATATATATATATGTATGGCGGTCTCTCTTTCTGTTGCTCTCTTAGTCTGCGACCATTTCACTTGATGAACCTGTCTCCTTTAACAATGTATATTCCCCTTATATTATATATAATATGTGTGTTTGTTTCACATGTCTGTTATATTTGCTAGGTATATATGGATCGATATTCGATTATAATCAGCCAATCATGTTAAGACTGTCTATTGATTTGTTCATTTTGGATATTCGCTGACACACTTGTGTTCACACACTTGTTCGGACATTCATATATATTTTTGCTCTCACACTCTTGTGTGACTTGGATTCTCCTTGTGTTTGGAAAATAGAAGTATCATCGCAAACCTAGTGGTCTTCTGATTTCCGTCTTTCTTGTGTCAGGACTATTAAATTCTCGACCAGTACATAACAATAATTTGGCGACGAGTACATAATAGGTCATCACGTCTATTTATTCTCTAATTTAGCCTGATTCCTTAAGGTTTAACCTTCGTAAAATCAATCACTAGTCAGAACAGTTTATTATCTGCTGGCCCAGCCTACCTTAAATGTGGCTGAAAATGTAGAAATATGGTTTATTTTTTCCTTATAAAATTCGGTTACGAAGTCTTTTGTCTTCTCTCCTTACAGTATTGCTTTGACTTATGCATTTGGTTTCACGCATAGTGATTGCAACAAGATATTAGATAAAGTAAACTAATTTATTTCGTTTAATAGTCTTGACAGCATAAATCGTTTAATGGAGATAATTGGTGTCTAAGTGGCTTTGTCGTGAGTGAATGAATGTAACTCGCTTTCATTAGTGTTAAGTGTTAAGAATTCTACAAAAGTTGGCTTCAGTAGTTCGCTCTTTGCATGTATGCAACACTGTCTAGGATAATATAAATTCCTCCTTAATTGCGGGTGTGCTATCACCACCTTTCTGTGTATTTGTTTGTCATGCCTGTCGTCCATAATTTATCAGGATAATTATTAGTTTTTAAAGCTTCTTTTATATGTGTCTTACTTCCTCTCTCCTTAGATTTTCTTTGCTAAAATTTACTTTATTTTAATCTACTGTCACTTGAACATTTCACCATTCCGAATTTTTACTGACATAATGTGGCATGAACTGAAATCCAAATATCAGTTTCATTGTGTGTGCGTGTGCGGGCTTCTGAAAACTCACTAGTGTGTTTAACTTCCTATCTTCTTTCCTTACTTAACACTAAAATCTAATATTAGAGGCTACTCATTCTGGCGACAGTTCTACTTCATAAGTGAATTGAATTATCTTTGCCATTTGGGGTGATATGTTTTGAAAAGTCTTCTGACATCTTGTGTTTTCTAACACTTTGAATGTGTGTAATCTACATACCTCCACCATAATTTTGGAGGTACAGAAGCTGAACATTTCAGTCTCTTTCAGTTTTTCCATATAGCCTGATATACATATATGATGTACCAATGGCAACTCCCTAAGTTTATCCATTTGTATATTTTTTCCCGTGGAAGTTAAAAATTTTAGAGATTAGGCATAGCATAATATCTTTATAATAAGACACACTGATTCTAAGTTCAGGTTTAACCGGTAAGAAATAAGTTTGTTATTATAGCAATATTTACCAATGTTATTGCCGATTGTAGATCATGCAGAATACCGTCGGTGAGTAGCATGAAGACGCGAATACATTGGAAAGGTAAGACAATCCTTAGAAGATATGGATTTTACGTGTGGATGACTTATGTATAGTATCACATAAATTCGAAGACTTATAAGCAGAAACATAGAACCTAACAGAAAAAGAAAGTAGCGAAGACAGTACACTTCAAGGGAATATAGAGAAGAAGACGGAGTTGATGAAGGCAGCCAACAAGTCGCAACAATAAACAACCACTTTCGACAGAAATAAATTTGGAAAGACCATTCCCTTCACTCATCTAGGCGGCAGTGATACACTAGGTGACACGCATGAAGAAGTCAAAGGCAGGGGTTCGAAGGGAAAGACAGGCCTTCTGCACTCAACAATCGGGAACAAAATTCAGATTTTTAGCACTAATATTAATTTATTTCTTTGTTTTAGAGACATGGCGTGTCGCCAGAAGCATTTCCAAATGGCTAGTCAAAACTTTTATCAATAACCGCCCACTCCACCGACTCCATAACAAAGATCAGATAGCTAGACAGAAAGAACTAGCAACCAGAAACTGTTGCAGGGAACGAATCAGTCACCTTTTATTCAGAAAACATGACAAAGAAAATGAAGATAGCTGTATCTGAAACACGCCGCAGAGACATCACACGAGTGACAAAAGACGAGTTCGTTGTGTGTCTGAGAGTGGCATGCAGGAGAACATGTTTGTGGTGGAAATTGAAGCTTATGGGCAATCAGGATGGCAGCTAAACTGGCCACAGAGAACAGAATAAAATGGAGATATGCTGTTGAAGTAATCTTTCTCCTTGGGAACCAAGGGGGTAATATAATTATGACCATTATTATTAAATATCGAATCTTCACTTACGCACATTGCACCTGCATTTTTCCTTAGTATTATTTCTGTTTTCCCCCTACTGCATTTCATTTATCATATTTAAACTTATATTCTATGGACAGGATGAATTGAAATCTAAATATTGGTCAGAAATTGCGAGTTGAAAGTAGTGTGTTTAATTTCCCATCTTCTTTCCCTGCTTTACTCTATAATATAACACTAGAATACCCGAATAAGTAACATAATTATGACTTATTATCAAGCCATCCTTCAGTTACATTCAAAATATAGTTGAAAATGAATCAAATATTCCATTCCTGGACGTTGAATTGACAAGAAGAGATGATGGAACTCTGAAAAGATCTCTCCACTAAAAAGCTATCATGGAATGGCCAAATGATAAACTTCTACAGTTGAATACCTATCAACTAAAAGAGAGCTCTCATCATCTTGCTGCCCCCCCCTAACCAGAAGAAATTGCAGCGGCGGCTGCCTAAAAGAAGAGCTCCTGTTTCTCAAAAACATTCTAGCTAAGAATGGTTTCCCATTGTGTTTCGTAGAGAACATGAAACCAAAGCCAAGAGGAGAAGAATGCATTTCAGTGGCAAGGAAAACATTACATTTGAATGTGACATTCAGAAGAGGTCTTAAACAAAAAATCTCCAGTCCCTTAAATCATACCTTTCCTGAAGCGACTTTAAGACCGACATTCTCCAACCGCCTACTGCTTTGGAGCAACGGAAGAACAGACTTCTATATGTGGCCACTTCGAAGTGCATATATTAGTTCATCTGCTGTCGAGGAGCTGGGTTTATAGGTTTTTCTATGCAGGTCCTATCAAAACGTGTTAATGAACATTACCTAGCATGGGTGCAAAGAGGAGAAGGCACTAAATCATTCAGGAGAGCCATAAGTGAACATTTCGTCAACACCTGTCACAGCATCTCAAATGACTCATCATTCGAAGTCATTTAAAAATAAAACAAAAATCTACCAAAAGCAGTGTGTTTCCGACTTCTTTGTACTTCAGAAGGTCTCACCGTATGCATAGAGAAACTGAAGCTGTGTGGTCGAAAGGAACTGGTTCAACCCCTAAATTTACCATGGATCTAGTTCGGTTTGTCTCTTTAGGTCTTGTTTTTTCATTCCGTTCATTTCCAGCTTCTTCCTTTCACTTTAGTTCTTAAAATTTTATTCTTTTGGCTTGTTCCCGTGCTAATCCCATTCCCACTTTTAGTCGTTAAAAAAAAACTATTTTATAACCCTGTGAAACTTTGTTTCTAAGCCCCTTGTAATCTATATTCACACCTTCAAACTTTCATGTCAAGTTGTAAATTGTTATCACCTTTAATCTCCTCCTTCATTTCTACGTGGAACTAAATAACAATTGTATCTTTGTAAACTTATGTATATAAGTGTTATTGTATAGCCTGTAAGAATGTGGTCGCCGAAAAGACACCAGTTTGCTGAACTTCTTGTTCTTTTCCCTCTAATGTCCCGACGGGTACTTTCCACGATTACTATCAAGTGTCAAATCTTAGATTTTCTTTAGTACTGCTTATTTTACTCTACTCTGCTACTTAACCATTTCACTAATCCGTCTGAAACTGACCAAAATTCAAATAACAGTTACATTGTGTCAGCAGATTTCCTTCAAACACTACTGTTTGCAACTTCAAACCTTCTTCGTCTATTTTGTTCTACAGTATAATATTGCAGATGAATTAAATGAATCTTCTAACTACTAAATGAATAGAATTGTCTGCAGCTGTGGTGGTGAATAGTAATAATAAATCGTTTTCGAAATACGCTGTCATCCACTAAATAGAAATACCGTTTTCTTTATCTAATAAATAAATAAGTTCAGAATGAAGTGCTGTCACAGTGCTCTGGTTTTTTACACTTTCTATTTCTTTGCCATTTTCAATGTAAATAGGTGGACTAATCACTTGTTAAGCTCTGATATACGATAAGGCAACCCACTTGTAGAATAAAAAAAAAAACTCTATTCATCTTTGTTCTTTTTGATGAACATTCTTCAGTCACGTTGAGAAGGTTTTTAGCCTTTTTGAAAGTGTGTTTCATACCAACTGACTTCGCTTGTCCTTTTCTAAGATGCAAAGCTTACAAACATGATATATGAAAATATGTCATCTCGATTGACCTAACACAAATGCCTATGTGAACGATGCATCTTGCCAAAGTAATTACCATTATTATCATTCGTTATCCTGATATTCAAAGTTAGTAGACTATAGTCACTATACTGCAAATCGACAGAAGCTAGAATTCATGAGTCTGTTAAATTCCATCCGAGCAAAGTGAGTGATAGTGCGTTCGTCTCGTCCAAGGTCATGGGTGCTCACTGTTGAAGAAGCATAAAACTTGCTAAAATAACTGTCCATATCTCTACAGTTGTCAATGATTCTCTAACCGTATATATGCAGTAAATTTTTATTAGCAACAAAAGGAGTATTGTCAAAGATGTGTCATCAGAATTGTAAGTTTTAGATAACAAATTGTTTAATATAATAGACGAGATTGAATAGAAGGCTTTATCACAATTTGGACGAGCGTCAAGTTGACAAGAGTGGTGATAAGAGGTGGAAATTTTATCAGAGTCGGGTGGAGGAAGAAAACAGCTGAATTTAAAAAAGACTCGAAAACCAAATGCGAAAATTACGTATCAAGTGTTAAGATATATCAGGTTCATTGTGGATTTAGTTACACTGAATAAACATTCTTTTTGTGTACGCAGAATTCGGGATTTTGGAGTGAATCTTGGCATTCCCAACAGCTGCCAACTTGTGATTCGTTTCACATTAGAGAAGGAGTCCAACATAAAAATATCTTTTCTGGATGTTCAACTAACAAGACTAGAACGATCCTTTTACAGAAAGCCAGCATGGTATGGACAACTCACCAACTTTCATAGTTGGGTACTTTTATATTATAAAAAACGAAATCTTATCCATTCATTCAGTGACAGAATTCTCAGCATTTGCATTCCTCAAACCAGAGAAGAGGAGCTTAACACTCTGAAAAGAATTTCCATTGAAAATTGCTACGTCGAATGCTCGTTCGTCACAAAATCCATGAAGCACAATCCATTTAAACCGTCCACAATCTGTGCTCCTAAAAGGCGTCTCTCTGCCTCAATCTATAATTCATCGGAGACTCGTCGGTAGAAATGTCGAGAAACCGCCTGTCCCCCACTCACTGAATAAAGCCTTCTTCGCAGATGAACGTTGAATAACTTTCGTCAAAAATCAAATAAATCGCATGAATGGCGTTGGGGATAAGCTGCCCGTGCTGGTCGCCTCATCATTATGCGCCTCTATCGCTCAGTTCACCTGATCGACCTGTGTAGTTGGTATGTAGGCCGTAATCGACTTTTGTACAGATTGTGCTTTAGACCGATTTAAACCAATCTGAAGAAATTAGATTACTGGGTCAAGGCAGAATATTTATTGTAGTGCGACAGGACAAACGTTACGTTACGCTGGTAACCTTATTCAATTGTCGATATCGTTGATTCTTCGTTGATTTAACTTTCTGAGATACACAATATATATACATATATAGTCTAAATCGATTTGTTCACTTCAGCACAGATCAGTCCATCTTTTGTTTTTATTTTTTCGGACTATTGGGAAGGGGAATAGAGGGCATAATTGACCAGTGATCCGTATTAGTATTAAATCAAGAGTATTATTACGTATTATTACACAAATAAAAGAGTGAATTTGTCACAAATTAGTAAACAAGACGGGGAAAAAGGACAGGGAAATAGACAAAAGTTTCATAACCACTGTTAGCCCCCTCCTTTGTTTTGTGCTTTGAAATCCAGACAAATTGTTATGATGCCAGCAATCATACAAAATTTTCTGTGCTATCACATTTCTTCGTCATTCCTAGATAACCACTGTACTTTGAGGTGGTCTGCAGCTGTAGAGAGCCTGTGCAAGAGAATGACGTCATTTTCTACTGAGAATCTGGTCTTTTTTGCTTAACCTAATCGACAAAAATGACCCTTGAAGACCTGAAATTCACGTAGTTGATTTGTGTCTCACAAACGCGAAGATATACAAGCGAATATCGACAACAAATTGGCAGATAAATAGAAAGCAGCGAAGATTGAACGCTGAACATTACAAACGACAGAGGTGATAGAAATACCTAGTCAACCAACAACAGCAAGCATCAATCACCACAAACGGAGGAAATTTAAAAAAGGTGACTTTCTACACTCATCTAGGCGGCACCGTTCCAACTACAAGCAACCATGTGGATGGGAATATCAAAGCAGTCAGGTTCGGAGAAGCAACACAGACCTTCATTACTCTGCAATCACTGTGGAAATTTACTGTGTTTTTTTCTGTTATAAGGAGCAAGACATGAATTTCCAACATTAATGTCAAGTCAATCAGTAATTCTGTACCACTCAAGGTTTGATGTGTGCATCAAGAAAGTCATTCCAGTCAATAGTTGTTTTCGCTAACACTGTAGTGAATATCAGACAGCTACCAAGAAAGGATAGGCAAATAGGAACTCTAGTGGTGAGTGGATGAACCGAGAACCTATCGCCACACAAATATAATGGATAAAATAGAGATGGATGAATTGAACACACCTGAGGAGGTCACTGGGTAACACAGAACTCCCAGAAGATCATTGATTTTGAAGCTGAGTAGGAAATGGCAAGTTGAGCATATCAATACTAGAGTAACAACACAGGAGTGATCGAGTAGGATAAGGAGGAAAAAAAAGGAAATCTAATGTTAAGTTTTAAAGCCAAATAAAAAGGAGAATGGAGAAGAGAGGCAACTGATATGCAGATGTACCCTGGTTGGTGTCATATATTTCATTAGGAAGCCCATAATTCAAAATATACTGCTTACCTTTGCTGATGTTTTAATACCCTTGCAAATGCACAAATATATAACAATCCATGTAACTAAAAGGCATAAGGCTAGATCCCATTGAATTGTTCCCACATTATGTATCCCGTCAGATATACGCAGAACACGATTTCTGTTTGAGAAAATCAGATGGAGAGAGATAAAGTGATGCAGGTATACATATATGCACATCTGTGAATTAGTGAAGAAAGAACAAGAAGCTTAGCTCATTTGAGTACTGCACTCGTCAACTATTACACATTTATGATTTGTACTCATATGTATATATAGGTCATTTTTTGGCTCATTCATGTTTCTGTGTTCTGTTCGATCTTCCTAATGAATTTTAAAGGATACTTATTTAACACCAAAGCCTCTTCTATCTGTTTTAGTTCATCATTTAGGTCTTTTTTTGTGCTACTTAGTGCCACTGCTCGGTTTGTTAAACACTTAACTAAGCCTGTCTTAGCAGTTAACGGATGAGATGAATTTAAGTCTAAGTATCTATTAGAATGAGTTGGTTTTCTGTACACACTAGTGTGTAGTTTACCTTCTTCTATTCGTTTTATTTTACAATCTAACATAGCTGACATAGCGAAAAAGGCCAAAAGAAAAATAAAATAATTGTGAAACTAGTAATAATAACATAAATAAGAGAGAATATGAGTCATTTGCAGTTATACCATATAAAGAGGGGACATCTGAAACCCTACGTAGGATTCTAAATAAAGCAGGAATTAGGGTGGCATTTAAACCTACAAACTCACTCAGAGACAAGCTCTGTAGGCCAAAAGACCCGGTGGACCCAATTAGACAAAATAACATAATTTACAAAATACCATGCAACGACTGTGAGGTCAACTACATAGGTCAAACTAGTAGGTCAGGGATAGTCAGATTGTCAGAGCATAAAAATTTAGCTAAGGTAAGAATGGTCAACCCCGAGAAGATGAGTAATTCAGAAAAAAATTCAGCTATTGCACTTCACGCATTAACACATAACCACACAATAGGGTGGGAGAGGGCTAAAATTCTAAGAACTAATCTTTGTAGATGGAGTGAGAGGTTGATTACTGAATCCTGGTCCATTGGGTCTACACCCGACAAATGCAACAGAAATGATTCAATGCAAATACCAGAAATATGGAAGATGTTATTACCTCAAGTCAAATCAGTGGAGGATAATAAATAATCTTAAAATTCTATTTCAATTCAAACACATCAAAACATTCTAACAAGTAACTTATCATGACTATAAAAAAAACACTCGTATAAACAGTCGTATTTCCCACATAATTGCAATGGGCCAATAACACTCGTACTATTATTTCTGAATGGATATTATCTCACATTGATTTTAAATCCAATATCCAATCGATTCCACTCATGTATATAAATGAAAGGAAAAGTTGTGTGAGTTACTTGATATGATTATGAGCGATAGTTTGTGCTCGAAACGTCATCAGTTAATATAACTGTACAACACTGTGTGATTTATCGAAATAAAATCTTATCCATAATGGACTTATACTCTACCACAGTGCCCAAGTTTTATACTTATATCAGATTCGTCTGTTTAAACGTTTTGCGAATACCAGTATTTTTGAGATTTTTTGAATTGCCTATGAAGTAGCATTTTTGTATGGTATTGTGACTGTTTTTTTGCATTCTTCCATCTTGTTATTCTCCGGTTTTACCCTCTTTTTTCTCTTTGTTATATTATCTATTATAAATTCTTTAGGATAGTTGTTTTCGAGTAGCATTTGGAATAGTACTTTTATTTCTTTACACTGGTCCTCTGGTGTTGTCGTAAGTCTACGTATTCTATCTGCAAGACCTGGTATTAATCCTCGTTTTACCGTGAGTTGGTTAGCTGAGTGAATATCAAGGAACCTTCCAGAGTGTTTAGCTTTTCTATTCAGCGTCGTTTTTATGCTGCCATCTGTTATTCTTTGTATTTTGCAGGCTAACGTAGGTAGTTCCCGAATTTCATTCTCTATTTCGACAGTGAATTTTATTGAGTCAACATGACTCTTTCTGTGCGAGAAGAATTTCTCAACATTGTTCTTTTTTCATTATTACTAACGTGTCGTCTACATATCTCCACCAACATTTTATTGATAACCTGAATGGTTTAAGGGCGTTTTCTTCCCAATAATTTATGAATATGTCAGCTATTATTGGTGAGATAGGCGATCCCATAGCTACTCCTTCATTTTGCTGGTATATTTTTCCTTCGAATGTGAAATATGTTGTTGTCAGACAGAATTCCACCCCTTTTATTATCTCTTCTACGGATAATTGTGTTCTGTCTTTTAGGCTATTATCTTCTTTTAGCCCCGTTTTCAGTGCATTCATGGCCATCTGAATGGGTATTTTACTTCAAAGCTGACTAGTATCTTCTCTTCCTCTATTTTAGTGATTTTTAATCGTCTCACTAATTCAAATGAATCTACTATTCTAGCTTTTGAGTTGTCTCTTATTGGTCTTAGTATTGTCGGAAGAAATCCTGAAAGCATATACGTCGGTGTGTTTCTTAAGTCTATAATCAGTCTTATTGGACATCCCTCTTTATGCAATTTTATCTTGCCATATATCCTAGGTGGATTACATGATTATGGCATAATTTCAAACCATTTTGACTTACCAATGACCTCTTTCATGGTTTTGTTTGTGAAAGTTTCAGCTGATTTAGTCATTAGGGTATAGAGTCCAGATTGTAGATGTTCATTCATCTTTTCATTATATGTTGTTTTGTTAAGTAATACTGTTGTGTTTCCTTTGTCTGCTTGAGTAATGACAATGACTTTGTCTGCTTTTATGTCTTGAAGTGCTTTTAGTTCCTCTTTCGTTATATTTGGTTTTTTTGCTTTTTGCTTTTTTAAGGTTAATGCACATTGTGCTTGTACCAGTTCAGCTTTTTGCTTGTCATATCCTTCGAGTGCTGTTTCAATTACAGGTATGATATCTTAAGGTTTTTTATCTTTTGTTACTAATATTGAAGTTCATCCCTTTCATCAGTACACTTTCCTCTGCTTCTGTTAGCTTTCTGTCTGACATGTTTACAATCCAATTGGTTTTAGTTATTTGTCTGTCATTCGGAGTTTTGGCTATCATGAGTTTATTAAATGTTTTTATTTGTTTCTTCGTAGGTAGTTTCCTTACGTTTTTGTACAACTTCTAGTATGCTTTCATACTTTTCTTCTTCAATTACTTCTTTCAATTTTTTCATTTACTTCATTAATTAATATCTTTCCTTATCGTGAATAGCTTTTGTATAATACCACGTAGGTTTTCTTTGATGCATATTTTTGAGGCATTTGTGAGCACTGTATTTGCTTTATCAGTAGATATCGGTGATTTTAATCTCATGTATACAGGAATAATTCCATTTTTTTAGGCATCTGATATTGAAAATTCTATGGTTTCTAAATCGAGATTCAGCTTGATATAAATGTGTGAGTTTGTTGGCCAGTCTTTTAATGGAAAGACCATAAGTTGGATTAATGTCAGTGAAAAGTCTGAGCATTGTGGAATAGGTCAGATAAAGTATAAATATAGGTCAATAGTTTACCTGACTCATTCATCTTACAGAGCCATTCACAAAATTAACGAAAAATACTCACCACAAATCAATGTGTTTCTGACTTCATTTTAATGACTACATATACGTCAAGATGCCGGAGTGATGTCTGTCTGTCTGTCTGGATTCAACATAGAACTTGCCACCGAAGTGCAGCAGTTCGAGTTGCCACGTTCCAAATAGCACACAGAGGTAGACAAGAAGATGAGTGAAGAGAATCAATAGAGTCTGACAAGTATAAGAGTGAAACAGAATGGGTGATGGTAGAAAGGAATATGAAAGATTACAGAGACTGAATACATCTGCGCTGGCCATTGACAACGATTTTGAGCCATGTCACCTATTGTCTCCAGCCATTGATTCCTAGAGTCCCGAGGGCCCCAACCCGGGAGTCTGCATCTCCCTACCTGACTCAGTTGAACTGTCAAGGATTTCATGGATTGATGCCATGTTTTTGTTTGGCCACCACTTACTCTTTTCCAACCTGCACCTATATCAGCTAGTAATGCCCGTCGAGGGAGGCGGTGGTTAGGCATGCGCAGCACGTGACCTAGCCATCTTAGTCTATGTAACTTTATAGCCTCGTCGATTGATTTTCCCTCTTTGCCCAACACTCTACGCCTAACGTCAACATTACTTACCTTATTAAACCACCTAACGTGAGACAGAGATCGCAGACATCTATGATCGAAAGCAGTCAACCTTTTCATGTCTTCAACGCGTATTGGCCATGTTTCAGAGCCATAGAGAAGGACGGAGTGAACTGTTGAGCAGTACACACGTCCCTTGGTTGATAACCGGATGTCACGCCTACGCCAGAGATGGTGTAGCCGGAGTGATGTATTCAAATAGGAAGGAGAATAGTCCAATCTAGACAGCATTTGCAATAGAGAATACATCTAGTTCTACTGAACTTCTTAGTTTTCGTTAGCTCATTTGTTTGTTTTTTTCATTCCCTTTATAATTTTTCATTTTCGGTCATGGAGTGACAACAATTATTTCAGCATGTATCCCTTTGTACATCCCGTTCACACTGTTTTCTTTAAAAAATTCTATTACGAATCCTATATGTATAGTTTTATTTCTATGTGCCTTTGTGATCTATACTTACAGATGCTAACAAACTTTCAATGCCGTAAGCCATTCAGAGTTCGATCTTTGACCACTTAGCCGGTTATGGTTATCCGACTAAGAGAGGGAAGGTAACATGACAGAAAAAATAAGCACTGCTGCAAACCACAAAGCTTGAGCTTGATGCCGTCACATTCTCCACACGGAATATAAACTGTCCCATCCAAGACTGAAATACTACCTATGTCATTTAAACAACATTGATTTATAAAGCATATCGAAACCAATAAGTTGAATGAGACATTGGCTGAATGTGTGCAAAGAGGTATGATTTTGTCATCAAATCTTGATTTAGTTTACGTTGTGGACATGAAACAACCTCAATGGATTATCTGTTTAACCTTGGGCTAGTTTACAACCAATCATAATGGTTTATTCTCCTCCGACCTAGCCTAGATTTAATGTGTCTAAGAATGCAT